GAAGGGCAGATTTTTATAAAATAGAGACGTCCAATGGGTTATTCCAATTGTTACTACGGTGACCTTTAAAGCCATTCGCAATTTAAGGAGCAATTTTCGCAGGATCCGCTGAAACTTCACGTCTTCCTAATACCCTAATACCCCTATACCCTATACCCCCTTACTAGCTGAAATGAAGAAACCTAATTGGTCATTTCGACCGTTGTTAAGGTGACCTTTAAAGTCACGCCGACATCAAGGTTGCAGTCCTAAACTTCTACCTTCGCTGCTGACGACCTTAAATAATGATTTTGATTTAGCCTGCTCCCTGTCAGACAGACAGAGGAAATATTGAGCAAAGAAGTCAAGTAGAACGGTTTAGAGATTGCTTCAGTCACCACAAGATGTTTAGAGGTTTCATTCTTTGGGAGGTCGCCAGTGTATTATTAAGCAACCTTGAAGTCACGTAAATCTGTAGACTAATTATGTCTAACAGGACTAAAAACAGTTTGTTTTCGGAAAGAAATAGTCTGGAGATTTAAAAGAAACTTGTCACTGGGTCAGTAACCCGGAGGTTTCTGGCTCCAATCTTACTGCGACTCAAATTTTCATTCCAGTCAGTACCCCGTATCAATAATGCGAGTCTACCAAACCATGGCTGTCTTCCTTAGTCAAACTGATATTACCTAAGCTTTCGAGAGATGGCTAACTTTATGCATACAACGCTGCAGAATGCTGATAGAAAAAGAAAGTGATAAGACCCGTGGTTACATCATTTCGAACACAAAGCAACGGTTGAGATGCTGAGTTGTACTGGATTTTCTCTACCTGATGCAGCCGGTTGTTTTACATAAAATGGAAATGTCCTAGGAGCAAACGGATAAAATATCATATCAAAAGGCGAAAGAACAAATAATAACGAATCGGAGTTTTTGAAAGCGCTAAAGAATTAAGTAGCGCGCGCGAAGTTGAAAAACGGCGCGAAAATGATACATTTAAATTTACAAAAAGTAATTTTGACAAATATTACCACTTATAATTCATTCATAAAAAGCAAACATCTGAAGTTCCATACTAATGGAGCACGTAACAAGTTTTGATGTTCATTTGAAAGATGGTCAACATTTTAATAATATTTGATAAACTACATGGACTACTAGATTCACATACATAATAAAGGTTTCATCTTGAAGAACTTTCCTGGATAACAAGTCCTCTTGACCACGCTTTAATGTTAGAAATGATAAAATTACTGACTGAAGGCTATTCACCGTTCGATAACCTTGATATCATACCTGGCCGCCTACTTGCCATTTTTGAAGGTCAGACCGTGGTTTTATGACCTTGGTCACAGTTTTAAAAAGAAGTGCGGAATTTGGAGGCTAACTTTGAAGGCCACTTTAACAACGACCGAAATAGCTAATCAGGTTTGTCTGTTTGATAAAAAAGGATAACTTTCTAGCCAAAATTGATAGATATGATTCGTTATTTCTGTAGTTGTCAGAGTGACCTTTTAAAACCACGTGTTTTTAAAGTGACGATTACTAGTGCACTTGGACTGTTGTAGAATAGTGTATATATTCATTTATAGTGATTTGGCAGGTAGTTCAGTCATTTGATGTTTGATTTGGGATATTCTCCATTCTATGGCTCCGAGTGAATGGTATCAAAGCTATAAGCTAAATATCCGGTTCGAAAAGGGTGACTCTAAAGGTAAAAGTAACAGGGGCAGAAATAACCAGTCAGCTTTCTCTATTCTACGAGAAGCTATTTCAGCAGCTGAAATAAACAGATTTCATTGGTTATTTTAGTCGGTCATCAATCAAGTAAAGCGATGGCATTGATGACTCATAAAAATCTAAAATAAAAGAACGGCGTGAATTTTAAAGACCATCCTACAACTGTCGAGATAACCAATTACTTATATTAATTGATCACAGGTGAGCAACCGATCTCATATTGTCTAGTCTTCAGTACTAACCAAATTCTACCAATCATATTTGCAATGTGGCCACAATGTTAGGAGACTCAAGATCGGTGCACTTGGGTAGATGTTTATTGATTGGAGGCAATCGGTAGGAAGCCTTGGACCTAGATTTCGTGCTTGTTGGCACTCCTCAGCAAGGTGTATCTGCAACCTCTATGAAACTGATGTTCCGTCTGAGATTAGAACCCTCAACACCCAGTTTTGCAGTCAGTGACATTACCGTTGAGCTATTCAGACAGAGGCTGACTTCCTATAAGAATGCTTTAGGCATATTTAATCAGTCGCAGAAGATCAACCAATTTTCTGTATTTTATGAAAAAGCTATTTTGTCAACCAAAATTCTGAAATCTAATTGGTTTGATTATTTCAGCAGTTGTCAGAGTAGCTTTTAAAGTCACTCTAAGTGTGATTTTAGAGTTACTTTAAGGGCGATCCTAACCCTAACCGCTGAGATAACCAATCACCTTTCTCCATTTTATGAAAATCTACATTCATAGCGGAAATACGGAAACTTAGTTGGTTAGTTTACCAATTCCTAAGTTGGCCTTTAAAGTTGCTCGTTCCTTCGGATGACTTTACGGCCCACCTTAACAACAACTGAAATAACCAATCAGGCTTCTCTATTTTATGAAGATCTGCTTTTCCAGTCTAAATAGCGAAGTCTAATCGGTCATTTCGATTGTTACTAGGGTGGTCTTTGAAGTTGCCTGTGCTTTCATGAAATCGCATGAGATTTTTTAAGAGATTTCAAAGGCCACCCTATCAACGACAGAAATAACCAATAGGGTTTATTTATTTCGGCTGGAAAGACAAATTTAGTTATTTAAGTTGTTGCTAGGCTGGCCTATAAGTCACTCCAACTCCTGAGATAACCAATTACATTCCTTTATTCTATGAAAAACTACCCCACTCAAAACGAAATTCCGAAATTTGATTGATTAATTTAGTTGCTAGGATGGCCTTTGAAGTCACTCTCAGTCACTCATTTTTAGATGCCTACTGATACAACCAATTAATTTCCTATATTTAGCTGGAAAAAAGTGAATACCTTTTCAACCAAAAAAAGAAATCTGACTGCTTATTTGGGCGACTTTAAAGGCCACCCTAGCAACAACTGAAATGACCAATCAGACTACCTTATTTTATAAAAAATCTACCTTTTCAACCTAAATGAAGAGACCTGATTGGTTATTTCAGTCGTTGATATGGTGGCCTTTAAAGTCGCCCCTGGAGTGCCTTCGTCTCACTCAAAGTTGTCACTACTTTTTGGATCTGAAACATTAATGTCTATGTCAATATTTCGAATAACTTTAAAGGCGACCTAGCAACTGCTAAATTAATCAATCAAATTTCGGAATTTCGTTTGAGCGGGGTAGTTTTTCATAGAATGGGAAGAATGTAATTGGTTAACCCAGGAGTTGGCGTGACTTTAAGGGCAACCTGGTAACTACTGTGATAATCAATTAGACTTCAGCATTTTTTGAAGATCTTACTTTCTAGTCAAAATGAAGAAACCTAATTGGAAGTGTATTTAAAGCAACCCTAGCAACTAGTGGAATGACCAATCAGGTTTCGGTATTTCGCCTACAAAAGTACTTTACCATAAAATAAAGGTATTTACTTGGCCATCGTATTAGCTGCTAGGGTGACCTTTAAAATCGCCCATATTTCACCAGTAGTGTCTTTTTCGAGTGACTTTAAAGGCCACCCTGGTGGCAACTGAAATAACCAACCAGACTACTGGGTTTTATAAAAATCAACCTTTTTTAGCCAAAATAAAGAAATCGAATTAGTTATGTTGACCGTTGCTAGGGTGACTTTTAAAAGTCATCCGTCGTTTCGGAGATTGCTTTCTGTCATCCACAAATGAAAGTTTGAAAAACGTCATACTTATGTTTTCTTTTATATAATCACACTTAGAATATCAGGTGAAATTTTCAGCGGGTCAATGCAGATCATAGATTTTAATTGGAACTTGAAGAGAGTGCAATGAAGAGTGCAAACTTATCATTTAGTTGGCATCGTTCTCAAGTAGAAACTCCTGATGAATTCCAGTCAAAGTTTAAAGTTATGATCTCTTGAAGATGTAGTGATACTTTTGTTGATTACAGTGTAACTAGATCAGAAAACTTTGTAGTCCTCTGTTTGTTGATGAGAGTTGATTGGTTATACACTAATCTATGTATTGCAGTGGGTTGACTATCTCTTATTAGCTTCAGGGGGTGTCATTTGATCAATCAAATGTTGTTTTGATTCAAGCGGTTGTTTTCTAGAATAAAATTGTGAAGTAATTTTTTATTCTATAGCTTGCAGGCTTCCAACGTTGGCTAGATAGAACTGATCGATCTGTACTGGCATATGGGCTCTCATGTTAATACCTCTATATTGCAGGGATTTTCAGTCTAGGTATTCATGATAAGTAGTGGTTAACGATGGAATTCAGGACACATGTTTCGTCCTATTTTGAATTTATCAGCTGGGTACTCCCTGGTGAGTGATGACATTACCATCAATACTCGAATCCAGGACGCATTGTTACCAATGCCGGAGAGTTATCCACTAGGCGACTGATTTACTATAGCCACGCCTTGTGCGATGGGTATAGCATGGATTCGATGTTATAGCTTCTAGGTTTTGGCGGGAACAACATCACTCACTGGTACATCCAGCTGATGAATCCCAAATACGACAAAACGAGCGTCCTGAGTTCCACTGCTAACTACGATCCATCATTGATTATGAATTAAATTACTCATATTTAGAATCGGCAAGGACTACTACTTCAGAATGACTCAAAGAAGATTTGGGTGGCAATTGTAATAGGTATATTTCGGGTAATTCCAGTGAACAATTCACACAAGCTTAATAACCCAACCTAAAATATCTACATTTACACTAGCATAGCGCTGGTAGCATATACTCATCTGTATTCTGAAGATAGCCAATAGGATTGCAGTATAGATCAAGGTCACACACGAAAGCGGTAACCAATACGGATATCGTAACATATGCAAGCGCAATTGATGACTTGATCACACATAAACTCATGCATACGTTATACACCAGTCTGGAGAGTGATGAATCATCATCAAACGCGACTATATAAGATAGTGTAGTGTTACACTCAAGTAGACCTTGAACACTAGAAAATTCGTGTGATGATCGGGGGTAAAATAAAAGCCTAATATTCTGTTGGATTCAAACCAATGGCCTTTGAGTTACCAATCTCTTGGTCTACTAACTTAACTACTAGACCCAGTGTGAAGGTCATTCAGCAAAACAAGTTTCATTGAAGGTGTAGTGAACAAGAGAAAAAACGATTCCCTCAGCATAAACTCAATCAAACCTTTATTGTCTTAAGGATTGGGAACTACTTTCACTAGGGTGCAATCACATAAATCTATCTTATGAAGTAAGTTGAAGAGGACTATTGTCCTTCCAATGCCTTGTACATATTTATTGATCTTATTTTGTAACGCATTGATTGCATCAATCTTTTGTCTTATGTGTGCGTGTGTATGTTGTAAGTAGTTTTAAATTCTCTAATATCGTTGCCAAAGTTAGTTGATTCCCACAAAAAGAAGAAAAAAGAATATTTGCAGGGGGGGGGAAGGAAATAAACCAAGTTATTTGTTTTCATCCTATAAAATTAACAATTCAACCAAATGAATAGTTGATTCTAGTTACAGACAAATGATTATAAAACAGTATTGTTTTCACAAAGTTAATTTGGGTGGTTTTTATATAGAAAAAATAGGTGAAATCTAAGGTAACTTAGTTTTCACCTGTTTTTCTATCATTGCCAATCAAATGGCGGCGTCTTTGAAATTTTGATGCTTATCTGGGATGTACAACAAAAGCTGACTGGAGTAAAGAGGTGATAATAGGAACTGTAAAAGACCCAAACACTAACTAATTAGAGCACCATGCTTTCAAAATCAACTTGTTAGGTTGCGTTGACCTCTTAACATCTGATATGAAGTGAAATATATGCTCAATGTAGCTGAATCTGTCGCAATAAGAATGAACAAGCATGAACTTTACATTCAGAAGGAACAAATGTTCATGCACCATTCTTTCGTTGGCAATCGATAAGCTAAATGCCAATCTTGTCTTCCTTATTTGTTGTCTTTTCGTTTACCATCAGATTATTCATTTATATATATATGGTCATTTTGGTATCGAAAAATTTATGAAGAAAAATCGATTTCTTTACAGTTACTAAATCTCACTCCATTTTGAAATTGCATTCACCTCAAACTTGACATGTTTTCATGTTGCACAACGTGTATTTTATAGTTGTCGAACCTCATGAGAACTTATTAAAACAGATAAACATAGTTTAGCTACATTGTATGATATTATTATTTGTTCTTTGGGTTTCTAGTGGAACATACGGCTTCAGTAGCACGTGGCCATTTCACTCTCTTGTCTCCAGTCTTTTCAACCTGGCTCCACGACTGCCCACAACCTTTCATTTCTTCCTCATATGATCTCCTCCATGTCACCCACGGACACCCAAATCGTCGTTTCCCCTTCGGGTTCCACTCGGGGGCCTGACCTGGCCCGTGATGTCCCCAAACGGTCTTCTCATTGTATGTCCAGTTCAGTTGATCTTCACTTTCTTCTTCTGCAGATTTGTTGGACGATAGGTTCTTGGATAGTTCTTTGCCAGACAGCCAGAGTTCCTTCTTGCTTATCCTTTTTATTCTGGCCATCTGATTTAATCTTCAGTATTCAGCGAGCGTAAGCAACAGCTGTTGATGAGTGTGTGTAGTTTTTGGAAATGTTTTTTGTAATATGCCAAGTCCTTCAACATCACATAGAAGCACTGATCCGACTAACATTAGTGTTGAAAATCCAGATCTCATTCTTTATGCTGAGCGAAGTGCAGTAGAGTAGATCTCCACACTGATTTCAGATTAATGAAGACCTGTTTCATTGTCTTCCCCATCCTGACTTTGACATCCTCATATGTGCCTGTGCCGCCAGTAGTTGAAACGATGCTGTCTAGGAAGGTAGGTAGGTAGGTAGGTGGGTAGGTGAAAGAGCTACTTTCTTTAGATTTCTCCCGTTGATGGTAATTGGTGCTTGTATTTCTTCATCAACTCTGTCTTCTTTACGTTCACCTGAACGAAGTTCGGTCTTCGCTGCCCTGCTTCTTCTGCTAACATTTTAGTTTTTGCCTGTAGATCTTCGATTTTTTGTGACATAAGACATAAACCATCATCGGCGAAATCCGAATTATCTTCTGGGGTTTTTTCATCGGTCAAACAGCGAATGCTCATCTTCTCACGGCTCCTCACAGTTTATTGTATGATCCAGTCCAGTCCATTCGACCACAATCAGGAAGGTCATCGGTAATAGTAGGCGGCAACCTTTTCTTACTCCTATCTTCGCTTTAAAGGTATCACTGAGCTTTCCAAGTAGGCTAATATTTCCTTAAAGCTCAGTTCAGATCACTTCCAGGCAACAAAACTCAGCGATATTTAACACCACAGTAGAGAAGATAAAGTCAGTGCTACAGCACAAACCAGAATAACATATAAATCGTTGTAGCACATCGCAATACACTTATGAATTTACATGTATATTTGGATACACACATATAAATAAGTGATTCAATAATTTCAGGCTAGAAACATCAATCTTCGTCGATTGTTAAACATATTCTAGGAACTATTCATTGGGTAGACATTGAGATAGCGTCCAGTGAATTAAATAAAACTAGCCAAGCACAACTGCCTAAACTAAAGGAAACTCTCACCATGAGTAAATTTAAACCCCCTTTATATGTGCAAAACAAATTGTACTCACTTTGAACCCACCTTGACTGTATTGATTCTAACATTATAATTGGTCTTAATTTACTTGGAACATAGAAAAGGCTTGAATCGTACTGTGGAGCTGTAAAATACTATCAGAACTAGAGTGTACTCTTCAAAATACCAATTATTGTTTACCTGTTGGATGCATTTAGCACAAAACGTAACCTGAGTAAGTTGGTTGCATTGAAGGATTTATCAGCAAATGTCGAAGTCAATGATTAGTAAGGTTTCTGAGCTTTTACACTTCTGATCTTCATACGCAAATCTAAAATAAATCAAATAGGACATAGAAGAGTGTCAACTAAACACAATCTTAGCCATTTGAGTAATTTTCCCGTTAGTGACAACCAAGTGAACTAGCTAAGCACAATTTTGCTACAATATCCTACTACTTGGTTTACGACTGAATTGACAAGATTCCTATTTAGAAAATGTGCGTTTAAAATATGATATATCCCTCTGCCGTACCTCTCATATAATCATTCTGTGGTATTTTTAATTTATACACCTTTTGCCTAAAGTGAGCACAAACTTAGTTAAATAGATCTCTTCCAGTCCTCAGGACTTACTCCACACATTTCGCTATGCTAATAAAACAAAATTCGGCATCTCTTGGTTGTCTAGTTAATTTTGGAAGAAATACCCGCCTAACGTACACACATGCGATAGAATTTTGCCGTGTTTTAGCACTTCATTTACAACATATTTGGGATTCGCTTGCCAGTGTGCCTTACTCTGAAAAAAATCGCATCTTTCTATGGAGTCATCATTAGTCGCATCACTGAGAATCGGTATGCTACTTATAAATCTATAGCCGTTATTATTTTTTTAAAGAAAGAGACAAATGGTTGACCACTGTGATTAGCTGTTTTTGTTTTAAAAAAGGCAGCAGTAATTCACTGTTGGTTGGCACAATCTTATTTGACCTTGCATTAAAATCTACCGGTTAGTGGAGCATCATTTATGCATTAGACTGGATATAAATCAGTTGACCAATCAGATTGTTCTTTAAACCTTGTGTAAACAGAAAACTGATTGGTCGATTTGTTAGTCAATATTTCACTCTGATTCGACAAGTTGATACAGTTATTAGTGAATATACTTTCACCTGTAGGCTGGCAATAACTTCTGCCTGTAAACTTAAATGCTCATAGTTTCATGAAAACAATATGGATATTTTCTTGTAAAATTGATATTCAACGTTTGGATGCATGCATGCCTACATAAGTTTGATTGATTAGTGTGAAAGAAACTTGATTCTTAAAATTTTCGAAATGGATGTGGATTTATCTGAGTTGGATGACTGGTTAGGCACATTGGAAGAATTACAACTGGTAAGTCCTTTATTTGTTGTCCAGATGAGTTTTAAATGCACTGTCACTTTTTATAAATATGCAACGAAGTTACTCACAGTTCCTTATATCAGATCATATATTCCCCTCCTCTGAGGTTAATAAAATATTCGTGAAACGAATACAACTTTATTTAATAAGGTGTGGTAAAATTTTCTGCTTCAAAAAGGAAAAGCAACACAGGGAGGTGTGCACAGCGTAATTCCTGCCATATGGCAACTGAAGTTATCTTTAATTGTCCGACGACATCTCAGCTCGAATACAGAAGACCCGTTTGGCATTTACAAACTTGCGTCATCTGTGGTGCGACTGGCAAGATATCCGATTATCTATCAAAGGACAACTATAGGGTGCTGCAGTTCGTTCCATTGTGCTATTTGGGTGTGAGATATGACTGCTGAAAGTAGATATGAGGTGGTTACTAGGTTTTGATCATAGATGTCTTCATAGCACTGCTGGCGTTTGGTGGAATAACGGCGTGAGGAATGTTGAAGTGAGGCCAAGGGTACTAGACAGGATAGGCAAGTTGATGGGTGACGTTGTAAACCTTCGTTGGCTGAGGTGGCTTGGATATGTGTTGCGCATGCCGAGTCACCACCTACCTTGATGTTCCATGCTAGGGCGAAGCTGGATTAGGTTAGAAGTGGGTTCAGGGTGGCCAGACAAAGACGCGGCATCAGTCCGTGGAGCCCGTGACTCTTGGTGTGAGCCATGTAGGACGTTGGAGACTACCTGACTGGGGTCCTAGAGACCATTGGAATCAGTGGTTGAGGACTCATGGTGACATGGATACAAATCCGTCACAATGGCGCAGATGTATTCACTCCTTGATGTCTTCTAAAGCCTGAATGTTTGCACTAACCTTTACCTTCAAATTGCTTACTGTCTGACAACTTTGTCTACATTGATATCCCCTTTCCTATTCATCTATCCCTTGTATATTACTGTAAAGTGTGACAACTTGAAGTGATACACTTGTGTGCGAGGTTATACGTTGATTTTATCTGTGGTCTGTCTTTAATAGATATTCATTGAGGCGCCCCCAATATTCAAAAGTTCATTAAGCCATTGGAAACTGTAGAGGCTACTCTAGTTTACTCCAGTAAATCGATTAGCGTTTCACCTATCGATGGGTTGAAGATATTTTAGGTGAAATCGGTTATAAAATTTCCAGGATCTGAATAAAGTGCAAAGCTAGTGAATATCACATTTTGTACAATGAAGTAATCGCC